TGCTTTTATTTTGTACAAAATGGCACAGTCACACTGTCGAGAATGACCGGCCTACAAAAAAATTGCTTACAAACCTCTCGTTATGCTTCATCAACAAATATTCGATTCAATCTTTTTGTCAGCTTGTTTTCTTTCAATTAAGACTGGTTTTGTATTTATTTTTGGAACGGATAAATTATTTCTACGATTTTTTTTTTTCTCCCCCATTCACTTCCCCAGTCATTTTTGACCAATATAAGCTCAGATCAATGAGGCGTACGATCAATCAGTTTCAAAAATAAATATAAAACCGATCCTACTTGAAAGAAAACAAGTTCTGTTGGGTGCAGTTCACAAACTCACCACTAGATGCCGTTAGAAATTACACACTGCACCTTTAATGTTTTGCTCCTGCAAACCTTTATTGACGGCGTAACCGGGGTCCTTGTTTTCCAGATCGATTACCCAGAGATCGCAGAAGGCATCGGGCCGAGGCATCGCTTCATGTCCGCGTACGAGCAGAGGATCGAGCCTCCGGACCGGCGCTGGCAGTATCTGCTGTTCGCCGCCGAACCGTACGAAACCATCGCATTCAAGGTCTGTCCAGTAAAACATCTGTCATGTGACACGAGCAGGGATTGGGAAACTACAGTAGGGATAAATGGGAAAACTTGCGTTACTTTTTTGAAAAATTAACTTGATATAATTTGTTGTAAATTTAAAAGTTGGGCTTCACGATATTGGATATTGAATAATCAAATGTAAAAATAACACTGCATAGTCTCTTTACTACTGAGGCGTATTGCATTCACTTGAAGAAAAAAAAATGTACTCTGTTTTTCTGAATTAATGAGTTAATTTTTCATGAAAAAAAACAATTTTGCTCTATTTTTCTAAATTAATTTAATTTTTCATGAGAAAAAAGTTTTTGCTCTGTTTTTCTGAATTAATGAGTTAATTTTTCATGGAATTTTTTTTTTGCTCTGAGTTAATTCAGAAAAACAGCAAAAATAAATTTTCTCATGAAAAATTAACTCATTAATTTAGAAAAATAGAGCAAAATTGTTTTTTTTCATGAAAAATTAACTCATTAATTCAGAAAAACAGAGTACATTTTTTTTCTTCAAGTGAATGCAATACGCCTCCGTACTTTACTGTATAAATTATATATAATTAATCTTTGTTAAAGCTAAGAACGTTATTTTCTCTTTGAATTGTGGTGTTTGTTTAAGATTAATGACTCAGACGGCTGCAGGAATATTAGGCTACTGTCACTTTAAGACCGAATGCACTGATCCAATATACTGATACACATCCGTTTCTTCTGTTTACGTTCACGTAAGCGACTGTTTTTGAGGATACTCAGCATTTGGACATTTGTGTGTGTATTTGTCCGTTCAAACGCGCACAGACACGTTTGTTGTTCAATAATTGAGTTCTTTCGCATCTTTTTGCTTTGCTTGAATGGTTTATAATCGCTTGAACTGGCAGGACCTAAAACACGTGCAAACGATAAACTTTCGCTCTATGATGGTTAAAGTAATGCGTTACTTTACTCAGGTTACTTTAAAAAGTAATCTACATACGTGACTCAAGTTACTTGTAATGCGTTCCTCAAACACTGATGTTTAAAATGTCCAAATGCTTTTTTATTTCATTTTTCTGTTTTTTATACTATTAAAAAGTGATCAGATGTAGACCTGAAATACTGATTTGAGTGGTTGTTGTTATTGTTATATTAAGAATAGATAAATAAAAAATAAAAAAATTGAATAACCTATTTTTAAATTTTATGTGTAATTTTGCATGTATATTATGTGAAAGCTTCCGTTAAGGAAATAAAAGTCCATTTTAATGTACAAAGCAATCGTTCTGGCAACAATATAATGTTTTTATGAAAGAAAAAAGTGATACATGAGAGTAACGACAAGATCAGTTATTTCTATTGAATCTTTTCAATAAAAATGTATGTTATTATTTTCTTATTTAGTCTTTAAACGTCTTATTTTGTGTTGAAATAAGCAGCAATGTGTTTAACAAGACACACAAAGGCATTTAAATAATACATTATAATTCATCTAGGTATGTTTTAAAAACAGAATTTAACAGATTTTTTGATTTTATATTTCCAGGTGCCGAGTCGAGAGATCGATAAAGCCGAGACTCGCTTTTGGACGCATTGGAATAGGGAAACGAAACAGGTGATCACAAATCTTTGATCTTTCAGGTTCATTTTTATGTTGTTGTTGTTATTATCCTCATACCAGAGTCCAGAATCTCTTAACCATATTTTATTACATTTTTATGGTTTATGTTCTCGTAGGAAATTATATTACTCGTCAAACACTTTAGAAGAATTTTCCTGCTTGAATGTTGATTATTCTCCTCATATTCTCCATTGTTGCGGCTCCTCTCTTCCCAGTCTGTCAGTAACGCTCTTCACTTCCTGTCTCTATGAAGCCCCTCCTCCTGAAAGCACACCGCGCTCTTGATTGGTCGGCTGGAGCAGTGTGTTGTGATTGGTCGAGCGCTTCGAGTGTGTTTGGGAAATGTCCCGCCCCTTTCAATAACCGCCAGTTTAACACACTACTAACTAACTCAACCAGGCCCCGCCCCTTTATTCTGCGCATTAATTATTATGATGAGGAATATTGAGACGTGTTCGTTCCCAAAAGAAACTCAAGACTTTTTTTTTTTTTTTGACTTTTTACTTGTTACTTGACGTATAGAAACACTCAGAGCTTTTTCATGCTGCACAGAAAAGAACATGGAAAAAAGCATAAAGTACTCTTTAAAATTAAATAATTTTTTTTTTTAGACTCGCCATGAAATTTCTTAGTGTTTGCATGGCGTTAAAACCAGCCAACCCTCTCTATTTGCTGAATACACAAATACTCTTCCAGAAACACTGACACTAGACGTTTCCATGACAGATTAGCGCAAAACTTTTGCTGCGATTTTATTTATTTTTTTATTTTTTCTAAATGTCGACAAATATACGATTGCGAAATGATGGCGTTTCCATTAACCAATGTTATGTAACTAAATCTTAATTTTTTCCTCTCGCGATCAGTCAGTTCAGAAATCATGGTGACGGATGTTTGTAGGTTCATGTATATCACAGCCACCGCACTTGTGACATTATTAATGTAAGGAGGTGTGTGTGTGTGTGTGTGTGTGTGTGTTATCCAAGTATTAATGGCAAGGTTTCTTTGAGGTTTAGAATCCAGTATTCATGTAATTCTTGTTTTATGAGTTTAATAAATAACTGTCCAAACACTCCGTGCCTTCATGTGTCATGTGACTGTAAATGCACAAAAACTGTTTCCATTGCAGTTTTGTGGAATATTTATTTTTTGAATTGCTGAAAAACCTCCTCACGCGAGCGTAAAACTTTTTTGTGATAAATGCGAGTTTTTGCGAAATTGATGGAAATGCGGCTACTGATATAGAGTTTTCATGCTCAAACAACAAACGTGAACATAGAAAACATGTTTTTTTTTAAAAAAAATTTTTTTACTTGTTATCCGCCATGAAATTTCTTCTAAAGTGTTAGCTGGCACGCCGTTAAAACAGCAGAATAGGACCTTTTTTTTTTTTTTGCCAAAAAATATCTTCTAAAGTGTTTCGCACATCGTTAAAACACCAGCCAACCATCTCTATTTCCTAAATGCACCTCCTCTCCTCTTCCAGTTTTTCCTGCAGTTCCACTTTAAGATGGAGAAGGCTCTGGCGGCTCCTCAGGGCCCGTCGGTCGGCGTGAAGCGGCCCCCGTCTCTGATCACAGGCCTCGGCCCGCGGTCCCTCGGCGACTCCATGCCTCCTCCACCCGGCGGGATCCCAGGGATGCCCCCCCTGCCCCCCGGAGCCCCCCACCCGCACCACATGCCCCCGCAGATGCCCCTGCCCCCCCACCTCAGGCCCCCGCTGCCCTCCGACGGCATGCACAACCTCTGAACCCCGTGAACACCAGCGTTTCATGTGCTTAAACCTCAGAATATGTGGTTTTGTACATCTCACTGCTCTTGTCCAATGATTGACTGTCCAAATGTTATTTTTATGGTTTTTTTATTATTATTAAAGTCAACATGAAACAGAAGCTGCACTAGTCTTTTCTTCCTTGTTTTGACGTATTTTCGAGCGAAACGCTTCTCAAACAAGAACAAATGTCACAAAATTACTTGTTTATTTCCGTGGACATGTTTCTAAACCAGCGTTTCTTTTGCTTAACCCTCAAAATATATAGTTTTGCTGAATGTATAGTATGCATAGGATCTGAGACTTGTCCAATGATTGACTGTCCAAGTGTGATTTTTGTTTTTCTTATTATTATTAAAACATCTTTAAAGTTGATATGAAACTAAACTGAATTTGCAGTAGTTTTTTCCCCCTGTTTTGACCAAGCGGCAACCTTCTCTCTCACTGAGTGAGTTATCCTGCAGTTCCTCCACTGGCCGCTAGAGGCGCTGCAGAAGAGAGTCAGTCCCATAGACCCGCATGTTAAAATGCCCAACTTTACAGCAGAAATGTACGGAGGCGTATTGCATTCACTTGAAGAAAAAAAATCTTCTCTGTTTTTCTGAATTAACGAGTTAATTTTTCATGAGAAAAAAAAATTTGCTCCGTTTTTCTGAATTAATGAGTTAATTTTTCATGGAAATTTTTTTTTTGCTCTGTTTTTCTGAATTAATGAGTTAATTTTTCATGAGAAAAAAAGTTTTTGCTCTGTTTTTCTGAATTAACGAAATAATTTTTCACGAGAAAAAAAATTAACGAGTTAATTCAGAAAAACGGAGCAAAAAAAAAAAAAATTCCATGAAAAATTAACTCGTTAATTCAGAAAAACAGAGCAAAAACTTTTTCTCATGAAAAATTAACTCATTAATTCAGAAAAACAGCAAACAAAAAAAAAATTCTCATGAAAAATTAACTCGTTAATTCAGAAAAACAGCAAAAAAATAAAAATTCTCATGAAAAATTAACTCGTTAATTCAGAAAAACAGAGTAGATTTTTTTTCTTCAAGTGAATATTACATATTACACCCAAATATTCTTCATACAGTGACTACCAGTGACATTTATACACATTACAGACACTTTGAGCTGATGATGTTTTGCTGAAGTAAACCTATAATCAAAAGAGCTTTACTAAAAGATAGATTTTTTTGCACGTTTTCTGGCATCGTTACATCACGGCTTTGACACTTTCGCAGGTTTCTTCAGTTTCTTCATCTCCTGCTTTTCTTCCTCTCCCTTCTTCTTGACTTTCATCTGTTTTTCTATCCGTCTCGTCGGCCTCTCCTTACTCTCGTCTTCTCCCCGTCCTCTCGCTCTCCGCTCCGGGAACCGCGCCGCTCTCGTCTTCAGGAGCCGGGGGTCTGGAAGGGCCCGGTGTCTCAGGCTCCTGGAAACTCTCTCACGATTCGCTCTCTTGGATCTGCCAGAGCCTTCGTCATCATCATCAAACCACCAGATCAACATGTGCCATAGGGAAGAGTCCGGCTTAGAAGATCAATCCAGAGGTGAATTATTAATACACATAGATACTGTTCTGTGACATCTATCTTTCTATCTATCTATCTATCTATCTATCTATCTATCTATCTATCTATCTATCTATCTATCTATCTATCTATCTATCTATCTATCTATCTATCTATCTATCTAGCTAGCTAGCTAGCTAGCTAGCAAAATAGTCCATTACAATGTACGACGAGACAAACAATGAAATAATATTACGGTAATATTAACAATGTTCTGAGATCATTTTTACTATATATTAATAATAAATTGAGACTCAAGATGGCGCTAGTTGTATGAAAGAAATAAAAAGGCGCGAGGCTGCGGAGTGATACGGGGACACATGAATGTAGTGCTGGTTGATATATTCAATGTAGTGCGGTTGACCAATCAGAATCAAGTATTCCAGAGACGCAAGGCCAAAAAAAAAAAAACCCAAACGAAACATGAAACATTAAAAAAAAGAAACAAAAGAAAAAAGTGAATAACTTTTAACAGTTATGGCTCTTTGTTATGAAGTTATGAATCCAACGGTTCCTTCATAAAATTATTCCCTGTTGCGAATGTTGTAAAACACCACAGGCCGATGTAAAACACTGTAAACGCAATGGAAACCCAGTCCAAACATATATAAATAATGAGATTTTACAAACAAATTGCAAATGTTTTCATCTAACTTACAAATATGAAATAATGTTTTATTAATTTGTAATCCTAGGCAGGGTTTGGCAAAATTAGTTAAATCGGAAGCAATTATTCTCCTTTTTGTAGGCTATTATAGATTCATAAGTGTTAAAATTCATTAGATTGATTCAAACGAATTGTCATCGTGATTTTGAAATGTTTCGATAACAGTATGACGTCATGAATCGTTAGCGCGACTCTGCGTGTTCGATTCAGGCTTGATTCAAAACAACAGATTCGTTCATTCGTATGTGTTTCGAAAGCGCCCGTTGCTACTTTACACAGAAAACAACACATTATAAGAAACGTTATGATCCAAGCCTGCATCTTTATACCTTTGTATGCCTTGTGGTTTTTTGTTCTTACCTCATGTGGTGTAATTTTCCCTCTTTTAATCAGATTTTGTCTCTCATGTAGTGGCGTGAGCTCTTCCTCCTTCCGGCCTCTGACTGCCTCTGGAGAGGAGAAACACCTGTCAATCATCTTCCGAACATCAGATTTAATGTTTCCAGAAGAGATTTGAGCCCCAGGTGAGATTATTTGGAGCTGTGGTTGATATTAGTATACATTTTTGTTGTTGTTGACATGATTAGTAACCTACACTTGCCGTGTTGGAGAGACTCGATATGAATGAAAACCAGCCATAAAGACCTTCAGACAAGGTTTATAATTATTTATTTTTGTTTTATGAATAAGAAATTTACCAAATGTGTGTCCCTGGGCTACAAAACCAGTCACATGGGGGGTCAACTTTTGATAACTGAGATTTACGTCATCTGAAAGCTGAATAAAATAAGCTTTTGTTAGGACAACTATTTGAAAATCTGGAACCAAAAAAAAAAAACATGAGAAAATCGACTTTAAAGTTGTCCATTTATATTCGTGATTCTGCACAAAAATAAAATATTTGATATATTTACGGTGGGAAATTTACAAAATATCTTTATGAAACATGCTCATTACTTAATGTCCTACTGATTTTCGCCATAAAAGAAAAATTGATAATTTTGACCCATACATGTGTTGTTGGCTATTTCCACACATACACCCGTGCGACTTGTGGCTGGTGTTGCGGTCCAAGGTCACACATGAGTTCACTTGCCGTGTATTTTCTGTAACCCGGAGGTCAGCAGGAGGATGGCTATGGCCACGATCAAACACCTGTTCAGCGTCACTCCTTCCCACGGCGTCTCGATCTGGGCCAGGTTCTGGATGGACAGAGCTTTGCGTAACGACGCTGAACAGAACAACAGAGACATCAACATACACAGATATAGGTACATTTTACAGGTGAAGTTCATTTAACTTAAAAAGTTAAACTAACGTATTATATAGACTCATTACATGCAAAGTGAGATATTTCAAGCCTTTATTTGTTCTAATTTTGATGATTATGGCTTATAGGTTATGAAAATCCCAAATTCAAAATTAGGATATTGTGAAAAGGTTTTCATATCTGTAAGCCATAATCATCACAATTATAACAAAAAAGGCTTGAAATATCTCACTTTGCATGTAATGAGTCTATATAATTGTATTAGTTTAACCTTTTAAGTTGATAAATAAATGAACTTTTGCAGGATATTCTCATTTTTCGAGTTTCACCTGTAATCTAAACCTAATTAAAGTACATAACTAGTAACATGCTAATTTTACAGAACTGAAGGAAAAATTAAATTTCTGCTTTCCCTCGCAAAACACAAAAAAACGTTCCCCTGATAAACTTTGTTATATTTCAATGTTTTCCCCGCAAAACTATTCCATTTCCTGAGAAACTTTTGCATACAATCGCAAAATTTCTACGTTCCATCGTTAAACTTTGGATTATATTTCAATACTTATTTTTTCGCAAAACTATTCCGTGATAAGCTTTGCGTCCCTCGATAAACTTTGCGTTATATTTAAATGATTTTTCAGCAAAAAAACTATTCGTCCCCATCCTTGAGAAACTTTGCGTTCGCTCGCAAAATATTTTCCCCAAATTTTTACGTTTCCCAGGTAAACTTTGCGTTATATTTCTATGGTTTTCTTGCTAAACTATTCCTTCCCCAATAAACATTGCTTTATATTTAAATTATTTTTTCGCAAAACTATTTGTCCCCCTCCTCGAGAAACATTGGGTTCGCTCGCAAAATATTTTCCCAAAATATTTACATTCCCCTGATAAACTGCGTTTAAATTATTTTTTCGCAAAAATATTCGTCCCCTTCCTCGAAAAACTTTGGGTTCGCTCGCAAAATATTTTCAGTTCTGCAGGTAAACTATATTTCAATGCTTTTCTTGCAAAACTATTCCGTCCACCAAGAAACTGCCTTCGCTCGCAAAATATTTACGTTCTCCTAATAAACTTTGTTATATTTCAATGTTTTTCCCTGCGAAACAATTCCACTTCCTGAGAAACTTTTGTGTTCACTCACAAAATATTTAGGTTCCCCTGATAAACTTTGCATTAAAATTATTTTTTCGCAGAACTATTCCGTCCCCCGATAAACTTTTCGTTATATTAAATGATTTTTCCGCAAAACTATTCCATCCCCCGATAAACTTTGCGTTATATTTAAATGATTTTTTCGCAAAACTATTTGTCCCCTTCCACGAGAAACTTTGGGTTCGCTCGCAAAATATTTTCCCAAAATATTTACGTTCCCCAGATAAACTATATTTCAATGCTTTTCTTGCAAAACTATTCCGTCCACCAAGAAACTGCCTTCGCTCGCAAAATATTTACTTTCTCCTAATAAACTTTGTTATATTTCAATGTTTTTCCCTGCGAAACAATTCCACTTCTTGAGAAACTTTTGTGTTCACTCACAAAATATTTAGGTTCCCCTGATAAACTTTGCATTCAAATTATTTTTTCGCAGAACTATTCCGTCCCCCGATAAACTTTTCGTTATATTTAAATTAATTTTCTGCAAAACTATTCCATCCCCTGATAAACTTTGCGTTATATTTAAATGATTTTTCCGCAAAAAACTATTCGTCCCCGCCCTCGAGAAACTTTGCGTTCGCTCGCAAAATATTTTCCCCAAATTTTTACGTTTCCCAGGTAAACTTTGCGTTATGTTCCTATGCTTTTCTTGCAAAACTATTCCGTCCCCCAATAAATTTTGCGTTATATTTAAATGATTTTTTCGCAAAACTATTCGTCCCCTTCCTCGAGAAACTTTGGGTTTGCTTACAAAATATTTTCACAAAATATTTACGTTCCCCTGATAAACTGTGCGTTTAAATTATTTTTTCGCAAAACTATTTGTCCCCTTCCTCGAAAAACTTTGGGTTCGCTCGCAAAATATTTTCAGTTCTGCAGGTAAACTATATTTCAATGCTTTTCTTGCAAAACTATTCCGTCCACCGAGAAACTGCCTTCGCTCGCAAAATATTTACGTTCTCCTAATAAACTTTGTTATATTTCAATGTTTTTCCCCGCAAAACTATTCCACTTCTTGAGAAACTTTTGTGTTCACTCACAAAATATTTAGGTTCCCCTGATAAACTTTGCATTCAAATTATTTTTTCGCAGAACTATTCCGTCCCCCGGTAAACTTTTCGTTATATTTAAATGAATTTTCTGCAAAACTATTCCATCCCCCGATAAACTTTGCGTTATATTTAAATGATTTTTTTCGCAAAACTATTCGTCCCCTTCCACCAGAAACTTTGGGTTCGCTCGCAAAATATTTACGTTCCCCAGATAAACTATTTTTCAATGCTTTTCTTGCAAAACTATTCCGTCCACCGAGAAACTGCCTTCGCTCGCAAAATATTTACGTTCCTCTGATAAACTTTGTTATGTTTCAATGAGAAAAAAAAACTTGTTAAATTTCAAACAAGAAAGTCGAAATAATCGTGAGAATAAACACGACTCTATTCTCGAAATTTAATGAGTTTATTCTCAAGATTGTATTTCGAGTTTTTTTTCTCAAAATTTAATTTCGCATTATAATGACTTAAATCTCAAGATGGATTTATTCTTTTATTATTGCTTGGCCCTAATCCTCTTCCGCACAAATCGAACAGTACTATTGTTAAATTATTTTTTATTACCAAAACGTATTTTTCATAGTCGTGAACTAGAACTTGATGGACTAGAACTAAACACCATAGAAGCCGAGAGTAAATGTGTGTCCGGTGATCGGGCGACGTACTGGCGCCAGAGAGCGGATGTTCCCGAGGAATCATCTTCGGGACTTGCTGGACGATCGGAGCCTCCTGTAGGACACAGAAGGGTTATTAATGTAACTGTTAAAGGTCATGTTCAGATGAGTGTGTGAGCGTGATCTCCAGCTGTCATGTGATATCAGACTCACCTCTCGCAGCCTCCTCTGAGCGTACATCTCTGTAAACAACAACAGATCACACTGACATGACTATCTTACTGTAGAGGAAATACATTGCACACATATAAAATGCTCAGTGAGACATTAATACATTTAAAAAGGACCTATTACACTCTTTTATGAAGTCGAGATTGTGTTTCAGGCTCTACTAGAACAGCTTTTCCTACCTGAATGTTGATTATTCAGTCCTTTTTTGTGATTATGCGGCCCGATTTCTTAAAAAATGTGATGGAATATGCAGGATTTTTATGCAATGAAATTGCGGGAACATGCAAAAACTGCGGTTTGATGAAAAAGAGAAAAACAAGTGATTGAAAGCACACTGTGCTCTGATTGGTCGGCTGGATCAGTGTGTTGTGATTGGTCGATAGTGTGTTTGGGAAATGCCCCGCCCCTTCCCATAACTGCCAGTTTAACACACTACTAACTAACTCAACCAGGCCCCGCCCCTTTATTCTCCGCATTAATTATTATAATGAGGAATATTGAGACTCAAGACTACAATGGAGGCGTTTCAGGATTTCAGAAACACTGATATAGAGAATTAGGGTACGTTTAAAACGACAATGATGTACTAAAAGTGTACAGACGCTAAAGTTGTCAAAATGATCTCGTTCATCACGGATTTGCAAAAAAACGCTGTATTCTGCTGTCAGGCCAGTAGATGGCGATGTCACCGTGCTCTTGTAGACTGAACATGTGATGCGCATGATGTCATCGTTGTTTTGTAGTTTAGACGGAGACGATAACGATATCGCTTTCAAAAACGTGCACTTTGAAACCCGTTTTCAAAAGTTTGCCGTCTGCCGTCGCGTAAACAAACGACCGAAACACATTAAAAATAAATCAGTTTTTAGTTAATAATAGAAAATAGGTCCTCTTTAACAAACAATGCAGGTGATTTTATTGTTCAATACAATTAGATTATTATCAGCCGATATTATCGGCCGATATTAGGCATTTTCCAAACTATCGGTATCGGCAGTTATAATGGCCGATAAATGAATATTTCAAAAATAAATAAAAACGGACGAAACACGCTTGAACCATGTCATGAGTGTTGGAGTTGTATAGTTTGTCCACCAGAGGGCGCTCTACACCGTTCCTGTTGGCAACACTCGTTGAGTTGCTCATTGCTTGAATAACAATTAAAATTAAAGCTGCAAGCAGCGATGGGCGGGCCCTCGCACCTGTAGCGCGTCGGGGTGTGAGGCGGCCGCGTCGCATATTTTGCAGCTCAGCCGGTGCGGCTGTAAATTTGCTACGCTGCTTCATTAAAGGTCACTTCCTGTTGCCAGCAGGTGGCGCTATGACTGGGTGAATGTCGGCATGTAGATTTGTTCAGGGCGGGACTCTTGTCAAATGTGTACAATTTGGTGCAGATCTGGGCATTTACAGCCAAGTTACTACAACTTCCTGTTTCATGGCGAATCATCGATGCCACGGACACGCCCATTGAGGAAAACACGCAGATAGCACAACTTTTCATCGTCAATGCCTTTAGAAGGCACAGCAGAAATTTGAAGTCGATCCGACTAACTCCCTAGGAGGAGTTAGTTAAAGTACGTAATGAGTAAATCATCCAAAAATGGCGGTGAAATTAGAAATGGCCGACTTCCTGTTGAGTTTAGGGCATCGCTCCAAGAGACTTTTCTGTGCGGCTGGACATGGTAGATGTACCACTGAAATTTCATACAGGTCGGTCAAACATGCGACGGGGGCTGCTTCGTTAAAGGCCACTTCCTGTTGCCAGCAGGTGGCGCTATGACTGTGGGTGAATTTCTGAATGTAGATTTTTTCAGGGCGGGACTCTTGTCAAATGTGTAAAATTTTGTGCAGATCTAGGCATTTACAGCCAAGTTACTACAACTTCCTGTTTCATGGCGAATCATCGACGCCACACACACACCCATTGACGAAAACGCGCAGATAGCACAACTTTACATCGTCAATGCCTTTGGAAGGCACAGCAGAAATGTGAAGTCAATCCGACGAAAGCCCTAGGAGGAGTTCGTTAAAGTACGTAATGAGTAAATCATCCAAAAATGGCGGTAAAATTCGAAATGGCCGACTTCCTGTTGAGTTTAGGGCATCGCTCCAAGAGACTTTTCAGTGCGTCTGGACATGGTAGATGTGCCACAGAAATTTCGTACATGTCGGTCAAACATGCTACAGGGGCTGCTTCGTTAAAGGTCACTTCCTGTTGCCAGCAGGTGGCGCTATTACTGTGGGTGAATGACAGCATGTAGATTTGTTCAGGGCGGGACTCTTGTCAAATGTGTAAAATTTCGTGCAGATCTGGGCATTTACAGCCAAGTTACTACAACTTCCTGTTTCATGGCGAATCATCGACGCCACGGACACGCCCATCGACGAAAACACGCAGATAGCACAACTTTACATCGTCAATGCCTTTAGAAGGTACAGCAGAAATGTGAATTTGATCCGACTAATTCCCTAGGAGGAGTTCGTTAAAGTACGGAGTGTGTAAATCGTCCCAAATCGGTCGCCAAATTCAAAATGGCGGACTTCCTGTCGAGTTTAGGGTATGGGTTCTTGAGGCTTTTTTGTACGTCTGGTCATGCTAGATGTACCACAGAAATTTCGTACATGTCGGTCAAACATATGGCGGGGGCTGCTACGTTAAAGGTCACTTCCTGTTGCCAGCAGGTGGCGCTATGACTTAGGGTGAATGTCGGCATGTAGATTTGTTCAGGGCGGGACTCTTGTCAAATGTGTAAAATTTCGTGCAGGTCTGGGCATTTACAGCCAAGTTATTACAACTTCCTGTTTCATGGCGAATCTTCGACGCCACGGACACGCCCATCGACGAAAACGCGCAGATAGCACAACTTTACATCGTCAATGCCTTTAGAAGGCACAGCAGAAATTTTAAGTCCATCCGACTAAATCCCTAGGAGGAGTTCGTTAAAGTACGGAGTCTGTAAATCGTCCAAAAATGGCCGCCAAATTCAAAATGGCGGACATCCTGTCGAGTTTAGGGTATGGGTTCTTGAGGCTTTTTTGTGCGTCTTGATATGATACACGTCCCCACCAAATTTCGTGCATGTAGGTTGAACGTGGACGAGGGGCTAATTTTTTTCAATTTTCTAGGTGGCGCTATCGTGCCATTTTGCCCCGCCCATCCGCGAAACCCACAAAATACGAAATTTTTCACCAGTCCTGACATGCGTGCCAAATTTGGTGAGTTTTTGAGCATGTTGCGGCCCCGAAAATGGCACTTACTTTGCAGAAAAAAGAAAAAAAAAAAAAAAAAAAAAAAATAATAATCCTAACAGTTTCAATAGGGACCTCGCACTGTTAGTGCTCGGGCCCTAATAACATCCCCATCAGTTCTCTTATAACTCAAATAAGCATGACAAAATTTGTGACTATCATGTCCAGTTTAAAATAAATAAATAAATAAATAAAATATCGGCCGATATATCGGAATATCGGATTTTAAAACCCAAAAATATTTGTATCGCTATCGACCTTCAAAATCCTTTATCGGTCGGGCTCTAAATACAATACTAATACATTTTTTTAAGAATACATTTACCTTTATATTTTACAGTAAAAATCGATTTGCATGAAGAGAGTGCGTGCACTTTTACAGTAAAATAGTTTTTTGAAGAGCAAGTCACATTATAGGCTCTATCTTTAGAGAGGACTGTTGGACGGTGTCGTGTTTCTCGTGTGTGTCAAGGTTATTGTGTTGTATTATTAGACTCACTGTTCACTTTAACACCACAAATAGTGTTGATGGCCTTTTCTTAATTTAGAAGGAACACTTTGCTCCCAAGACATCTCGAATCTCGAAAAAGTTCATTTATTTCTGTACTTCAAGTTGAAACTTTTGAAAACCTTTATACATTTGGGGTTTTCATAAGCTGTAAGCCATAATCATCACAATTATAACAAATAAAGCCTCTCACTTTGCATGTAATGAGTCTATATAATATATTAGTTTCACCTTTTAAGTTGAAATAGTGAAATAAATGAAGTTTTGCACGATATTCTCATTTTTTGAGTTCAGAAACATGCATGTATGATCGCTTCTCTGCTTGTTTGCAATGCGTTGGCTCAGGTTATGCGCGCTCATTTGTACCCGCTCTGCTTCCGGTGCGCGCTTGTCTGAGGGGTTTCGGAGGAGGAACGTCTTGCACTGGTTTTCCAAGCTCTTCCTCAAATGTCTCGAAGGTGCTTTCATCCATAACTCACCTGAGAGAGAGAGAGAGAGAGAGAGAGATGGCACATAAACTCCTGATGTGTGATGAAACATCTCAAACCGCTGTGGTAAATATTGCTGGATTCACAGACTCATATTTGATCGTTTTAGTGCTTCAATATAGAGACCCTGTGAAATCACACCAATTTAGAAAATCTTCAGATTCTCAAATTTGTGTACAATTTTGCACATTAAACCAGTGTATTATGAAAAGCACTATATATATTTACAGGTGAAACTCGAAAAAACAGAATATGGTGCAAAAGTTCATTTATTTCAGTAATTTAAATTAAAAGGTGAAACTAATATATTATATAAACTCATTACATGCAAACTGAGATGCTTCATTTGTCATAATTGTGATGATTATGGATGAAAACACCAAATTCAAAATTAGGATATTGTGAAAAGGTTTTCATATTTGTCATAATCATCACAATTATAACAAATAAAGGTTTGAAATATATCACTTTGCATGTAATGAGTCTATATAATATATTAGTTTCACCTTTTAAGTTGAATTACTGAAATAACACAGAAAATACAGTTTACAAATTCAGTTTAAAGCAGTTTTACAGGAATTTGTGATGATAATGTTTGATATCTTCATGCCGTACAGTCACATTTATCAGATTAGAGCTGGACAATAATATAGTTTACAATACTTTGGCATCTATATAAACAATCATGTAGTTTGGATGTGTATGTGTCGCCCTATATGTGAGTGTAATGTAAATATGAGGACAAACTTATATGCAGATTTACATAAAGCTCAATAAAACACAGGTTAAATATACATTTCATTTGTATGTTAATAAATACAACAGTGTATTTCCGTATTTGAGCTTTATGCGTCGTGAAAAATCTCAAAATATTAAAGATTTAAAAAAAATGTGATTTACAAAACTGTTTTGTAAATTAAGCTGTGCTCTAAAATATTTAATTTTATAATTAAATAAAATTGTTCTATGTGAGCTTATATATCCCTATAAAATATTTTTTTAACAATCCAAAAAATTGCAGACAACTGTAAAAGCGTAGGTATAAGAATCCTATACATGTAAGGAGCAATTTATTATTTATAATTAACATTAATAAATCTGGTAGCACTATTAGTTAACCAACAATGAGCAGTACATCTGTTAGTGTTTATTTATCTTTGTTAACATTATTAATATAAAAATTGTTAGTTCATGTTAGCTCTGGTAAGTTTAAATAATATTAACAGATGAAACTTTTGTTTTTAATGATGTATCAGTAAATAAATGATTTAATACAACGTTATTATAAAGCTTTATTTCTGTAGCTCTTTATACAATACAGATTGATTCAAAGCATTTTAACAGTAATAAACAGAGTAAAAACAGCTCTCACAATAGTGTCATTATTCAGATCAATTCAGTTCAGCGTTGAAAATCCATTTCTAATCATTATGCAAATGTTTCTCCTAAAGTAACTCATTGGACTTCACCTTTGACCCCTGTAATTTAGGCTTACCTGTGTGAAGGTGAGCAGGAGAGCCGAGGAAGAGCAGTCCGAGTATGAGAGCGCCGATCCACGGGTAGGACACGCGCGCACACACACACACACACACGTGTGACAGACATGCACAGGTGCGGCAGGGTGAAAAAACAAAGCGTGCCATTACAGGACACTGATAATTCCCTGGGATGAAATGTGATTTATTTATGAAGCCTGTCAGGAGTCTTTGCATTACAGCGGCATCTGAAATATTCATCACTGAAGACTAAACACTACAACTAAAACCTATAAAAAACAGGTTTTCCTGCTTGAATGTTGATTATTCTCCTCATATTCTCCAGTGTTGCGGCTCCTCTCTTCCCAGTCTGTCAGTAACGCTCTGTTTACTTCCTGTCTCTATGAAGCCCCTCCTCCTGAAAGCACACTGCGCTCTGATTTGTCGGCTGGAGCGGTGTGTTGTGATTGGTCGAGCGCTTCGAGTGTGTTTGGGAAATGTCCCGCCCCTTTCCATAACGGCCAGTTTAACACACTACTAACTCACTCAACCAGGCCCCGCCCCTTTATTCTGCGCATTAATTATTATAATGAGGACGTTTTCGTTCCCGGAAGAAACTCAAGATACAATGTAGGCGTTTCAGGAGTTCAGAAACACTGATATAGAGAATTAGGGTACAATGATGTACTAAAAGAGTACAGACGCTAAAGTTGTCAAAATGATCCCGTTCATCACGGATTTGCAAAAAAAAACGTTGTATTCTGCTGTCAGGCCAGTAGATGGCGATGTCACCGTGCTCTTGTAGACTGAACATGTGATATGCAAGCGCATGATGTCGCCGGTTTCACAAATTTGCATGTTTGTAGTTTACAATATCGCTTTCAAGAACGTGCACTTTGAAACGCGTTTTCAAAAGCTTGTGTTTACAGGCCCTCAAAACGCTGTTGTCGTGTAAATGAACGACCAAAACGCATTAAAAGTTTTCCGTTCTTAGTTGACAATGCTGTTGTGTAAACGGCCCCTTATCGAACCTGATATAGATAGACCTAATTAAAAAATAATAATTACAAAAACCCCAACAAATGTATTAAAAAAATTTGAGTATAAAAATAAAAACTGATTCAAAAATATGAATAGTCTCAGTGATACTAAAACAACACCGAGCTACTTTAGGAGTTTGTATGTCTGTAACATAGGTAGAATGCATCTTTAATGCATCAGTTGCGTAAATGTGATGCTATAGACCTTATGTAGCCCCGCCCCTTTTCAGCGCTGCGCTCGTTAATGGTAATATACTAATAGTAATAGTAATGCCATAGAGATATACAGAGCGACCGCAAAAACGGAAGTTCAAAGACAATATTCTAAAGATGGCGGCGCCCTTGTTTTTCTGGGACATAAGGTCTATAAAGGGATAGAGATTCTGTAATCATTTACTCAAAAATGTTGGGTCACTATGTTGGGTTATTTACCAAAAATGTTGGGTCATTTTTTTTTTTTTATCTTTGGGTTATTTCTAGTAATAACCCGGCAGTTGGGTTAAATACGGTTAAAAAAAACCGTTGTTTTTTTTAACCCAACCTTTGGGTTACACATATTGGGTCACTATGTTGGGTTATTTTCCAAAAATGTTGACATTTTAAAATTTTTTTTATTTGGGTTATTTCTAGTAATAACCCGGCAGTTGGGTTAAATACGGTTAAAAAAAAACGTTGGTTTTTTTAACCCAACCTTTGGGTTACACATATTGGGTCACTATGTTGGGTTATTTTCCCAAAATGTTGACATTTTTTAATTTTTTTTATTTGGGTTATTTCTAGTAATAACCCGGCAGTTGGGTTAAATACGGTTAAAAAAAAAAACGTTGTTTTTTTTAACCCAACCTTTGGGTTACACATATTGGGTCACTATGTTGGGTTATTTTCCCAAAATGTTGACATTTTTTAATTTTTTTTATTTGGGTTATTTCTAGTAATAACCCGGCAGTTGGGTTAAATACGGTTAAAAAAAAAACGTTGTTTTTTTTAACCCAACCTTTGGGTTACACATATTGGGTCACTATGTTGGGTTATTTTCCAAAAATGTTGACATTTTTTAATTTTTTTTATTTGGGTTATTTCTAGTAATAACCCGGCAGTTGGGTTAAATACGGTTAAAAAAAAACGTTGTTTTTTTTAACCCAACCTTTGGGTTACACATATTGGGTCACTATGTTGGGTTATTTTCCAAAAATGTTGACATTTTTTAATTTTTTTTTATTTGGGTTATTTCTAGTAATAACCCGGCAGTTGGGTTAAATACGGTTAAAAAAAAACGTTGTTTTTTTTAACCCAACCTTTGGGTTACACATATTGGGTCACTATGTTGGGTTATTTTCCAAAAATGTTGACATTTTTAAAAAAAATTTATTTGGGTTATTTCTAGTAATAACCCGGCTGTTGGGTTAAATACGGTCTGCTGTGCCGAGCTGAAAGTTGGTTAGGAGAACTGTGTGAAGAGCTTTTAAAAAGTGACCTAAGTATTGAGGAATGTGTCGTAGCGACTGTAAAAAACTGTAAAATAATAACCTTTATTTAACCAGGAAAGAAGACTCTGAAACTGAGATTGAGATCTCTTTTACGGGAGTGTCCTGGCCAAGATAGGCGGCCGAGTTTACACCGTTTTTGCATCAAAGTTACGACACAAACATAAAAAACAGAAACATCATACATACAACTGACGTCTAATATTCAACAAAGGCCAACTAAACATTTTGTATACATGTAAATCTGTGTAAAATATTCTAGAGTCGTCCACTAGAGGGCGCTGTACGTCCACAAACTCAGTTACATCTACAGATCAACACATCTGACCTGAATGTGACTGCAGGAACATGACACTAGAGTATAACAGAGCTGTGTGTGTGTGTGTGTGTGTGTGTGTGTGTGTGTGTGTGTGTGTGTGTGTGTGTGTGTGTGTGTGTGTGTGTGTTAACACATTACAGGACTGTTTGGTTTTGGTGGTGATGGTGAAATGCGATGTGCTTCTTCCACGTCTGATGTTCCAGGTCTTTGTTGCGTTAACCTTCATGGCTGATTTGGTTGCGGTGAGACAGATGCGTTCTCAGTCTGCTCTCATTAAGAGGGTGAGACAGTATTTCGAGTTTCGCAGAAGTGGAAATGGCGTCTCTGGGTGACCTTTCCCGGCACAGAATGAGTCCTGGCTGTCAGTGGCGGGCTTTTACTGTCTGAGCATGTTCATTCTCAAACGGGTTTAAACGTTCCTGATGCCGTTTCACAGATATTTCTCATCCGAACTGCGTTCGTTCATTCAGTAACTCCAGCCTATCTGATCCTGAAACATTAGATTAGCACACCGCATAAATGGAGACTGACAATAAAAAAAAACGTTACACGTTACGTTACGTTTTTTTTAAAAACGTTACGTTTTTTACACATGTTGGGTTATTTTCCAAAAATGTTGGGAAAGTTGCCAAAGTTGCATTTATCTGTTTTTAACAGTAAAAATAGTGAAATATTATTGTAATGTAAATCATCTGTTTTCTATGTGAATATATAGTAAAGTGTAATTTATTCCTGTGATTTCCAGCATCATTACTCCAGTCTTCAGTGACACATGATCCTCCAGAAATCACTCTAATATGAGGATCTGATGCTCAAGAAACATTTATGACTCATAACAATGTTGAAAACAGTTCAGATGTTTAATTTTTCAGGATTCTTGGATGAATAGAAGGTTCAAAAGAACAGCATTTTTTTCTGAAATAGAATCTTATGTAACATTATACATTTTTTACTGTCACTTTTTGATCAATTTAAATGTATCCAAAAGAAAAAGGATATCTTGTCTTAACTTTATACTGGAAAACAAGACACAAACACTGAGTACTTTTTTGCCCCCTTCCAAACTATGGCAAGCCGTCTTAGCTTTTATTCTTTTCCAGGATATGAATTCTTCATATCAAAAATTGAATTGCTGATATCTGTAATTGTATTTTCACTAGTGAAATGTCACCATAGGCTGCCATTCAAAATAAATTGTTGATATCAAGAAGATGAAATATCATTTTTTATTTCAATAATTACATTGTTACTGCTAAAAATGTGAATTCCTGATATCAACAATTAAATTGTCACTAGTTGAAATGTCTATTCTTGATATCAACAATAATTGTTACTAGTAAAAATGTTTATTTTTGATATCTGTAAATGTATTTCTGATATCAATATTATTTCAGATATCTAAAATGTCTTTCTTACTAGTAACAATCACATTCATGATCAGAAATTACCATTGTCACTAGTAAAAATTGAATTATTGATATCAAAAATGAACATTACTAGTAGCAATTCAATTGTGGACATCAAGAATAGACATTTCAGCTAGTAACAATTGAATTCTTGATATCAGAAATAAAGGTTTTTACTAGTAATAATTGTATTTCTGATATGTGAAATTTGAATTTCAACTAGTTAGAAATCAATTCTTGATATCAACAATTGGTTTTGAATGGCAGCCTATGGAGACATTTCACTAGTGAAAATACAATTGTTGATATCAAGAATTCATATCCTGGAAATTAATAAAAGCTAAAACGGGTTGCTCTGACTGAAATCATATATATTATATATGTATATTACATAGATTACACAAAAGTCTTGGTGCTGACGCTGTCCTGAAGAACGAACACATGGCCTTGATTCGTGAAGGTGTTTGTCTGTTCAGTGAAGGGTAAGGAAGTGGGCTAACATCACAAACCCAAACTACAGCGGGTCTTTACTCACTGTGAGGAATGACACTGTTCTCTGTTCTGAGCGCTCGTAAACCAGACCTCGTCCCAGGACACGGGACTGCACAGATGGGGCGAGAGCTGTGATCTCTGGCAAGGACGACGAGGAACCGGAGCTACGAGAGACATGATGCTCTTTCTCCACATTTAAAGGATTAAACTGTCTTGATAATTTACTTTTCCGCACGTCATCCAAGATGTTCATGTCTTTCTTTCTTCAGTTTTTTAACCCAACTGTTGAGTTACATATATTGGGTCATCATGTTGGGTTATTTCCCAAAAAGTAGGACTTTTTATTTTTATCTTTGGGTTATTTCTAGTAATAACCCGGCTGTTGGGTTAAATATGGTTGAAAGCCTGTTGTTTTTAACCCATCTGTTGGGTTACACATATTGGGTCATCATGTTGGGTTATTTCCCAAAAAAGTATACTTTTTATTTTTATCTTTGAGTTATTTCTAGTAATAACCCGGCTGTTGGGTTGAATACGGTTAAAAGCCTGTTGTTTTTAACCCAACCGTTGGGTTACACATATTGAGTCAATATGTTGGGTTATTTCCCAAAAAGTAGTACTTTTTATTTTTATCTTTGGGTTATTTCTAGTAATAACCCGGCTGTTGGGTTAAATACGGTTAAGAGCCTGTTTTTGTTTTTAACCCAACTGTTGAGTTACACATATTGGGTCATTATGTTGGGTTATTTTCCAAAAAAGTAGGACTTTTTAT